TATATGCGCTCAAAGCGCATCCTGTCAGGTTGTTCCTTCAGTGTGCTCCAATCAGAGCAGAAAAAGAACCTGCGAGACATCGCTGAGGTCAGGTTTAACACACTGTTCAATGTACGTGCGTCTGTATACATACATACATACATACATAATATATATATACATACATAATATATATATACATACATAATATATATATATATATATACATAATATATATATATATACACTATATATAATATATATACACAATATATATATATATTTAATATATAAATATATTAGTGCTGGGCAAGTTAACGCGTTTTGCGTTCATTAATTAATGCGACAATTATTTTATCGCTCGTTAACGCAGTTTTTTTTTAATTATTGAAAGGACATTTTGAACACAAGAACCGGCCGGCCGAACTGCTGGCAGCAGGCGGTGAACAGCTGTTTGTGTGGCATCTCTTCCGTCTCTTCCCGTTTCCTTCACCTACATTCCCCTGGGTCCTAAGTCCCTCCATGTACAGCTTCTTATCACCCTCTATGTACCAACGTACATTTATAACAAATACCACACATATTACGGTAATTAGCGTTGCATATGTGTCTGACCAACATACCACAAAAAGAAAAAAAGAAATTATTCATTTAAATGATTGTTTTAGAGTTTTTAAAGTGTTTTGTTTGTAATATGTATAATAAGCATCATTTAGTATCACTACTGAGAATTTAACAAACATAAAAACATGACGTAGATAGGTTTGCAGTTTTCAAGGTGTATATTTAAATATCATCTCTTACACACATGAAGATAAAGTTGTGAACACCGGCTGAATATCTATGATCAGAATCATAACTGTGTTATAACTGCTACTGTGTAAAGGGAATACTGCTGCTAACAAGAACCTGATGTGTTTAAACCAAATGTTATTGACCTTTAGTTCATATAGCAGTACTTTAAAATAAAAGTGCACAATACACTACTTTTGAATTCATTATTGAACTTTGTGCATAACAATGAGATTAATGGCGATTAAACATTGTAATCGTTGCCCAGCACCAGTAAATATATATAAATATATAATATATACAAAGAGAAGAACTTGAATAGAAACAAATAATCAGTTTGTAAACGTTTATTTAAAGTAAAGCAGTTTATTTGAGTCTCTGTTCAGAAACTATAAATACATCTTTAAACATTAAACATTAAACTTTAAACATTACAGAAAGATTTAAAATGTACATGAAGATGTTCACTGGGCCCTCAGCAGGGGGCCCAGGCTCCTCATGGAGGCATTCAGGGTCAGCTCAGGCACGTCTCTGGCCACCCGCTGCATGGGAGCCATGTTGGGTCCTTCAAGAGAGTCCAAGAGACCTGAAACCACAAAACGGAATGACGGGAGGTCTCGCTCCGACTCTAGACGAGGACGGGAGGTCTCGCTCCGACTCTAGACGAGGACGGGAGGTCTCGCTCCGACTCTAGACGTGGACGGGAGGTCTCGCTCCGACTCTAGACGAGGACGGGAGGTCTCGCTCCGACTCTAGACGAGGACGGGAGGTCTCATGACCTCAGTAAAGGAGATGAGGAGTCTCACCTTCTACGATCTTGTGGTAGGCGAAGTGAAGGTAGAGCAGGAAGAGCATGTGGAGGACAGACAAAGTCCCACAGAGGAGGAGACGAGGAGTCTGACCCACCGTACGGGACAGCAGAGCCGCTACCTGATGGAGGACAAGAAATAGGAGGCGGGTTAGTGAGCGGCTGAGGGACAAGAGGCTGGTGGGAAACGCAGTCCTCACCATGCGCAGAGTGGACAGTCCTCCACACAGCAGCCAGAGGACGTAGAACAGGAAGTGGAAGTGGATGTTGTAGGTGACGAAGAGGACGACGCAGTGCCCAAACAGACCGTAACCCTGACGACAGGAGAGAGGAAGTGATGTCACACAAGTGATCCAATGAAAAGACTACAAATCACAAATTACACTTCCTGGTTATATCCCTCAAAGCATCATGGGAGCTGTGGTACACTGTGTGTGTACTGTGTGTGTGTGTACTTGCAGTACTGTGTGTGTGTGTGTGTGTGTGTGTGTGTGTGTGTGTGTGTGTGTGT